CACACACACACACACACACACACACACACACGCTCGCACGCACACGCGCACACACACACACGCGCTCACACACACACACATGCACAGACACATGCACACACACACGCTGGCACGCACACACGGGCGCACGCACACACACGCACACACGCACACAGACACACACACACATGCATATTCTCTCTCTCTCTCTCTCTCTCTCTCTCTCTCTATCTCTCTGTGTCGCCGCGCGCGCTGAGAGAGAGGAACAGAGGGAGCGCTTCCTCCCGCACACAGCTGCGCGGTGATGCGTTTTTTTTTTTTTTTTTTAATCAATCAATCGAAATCAATCAATCAACCAAATTTTCTTTCTTTATTTTGTTTTTTTCCCCGTTTTGATGATTTTTATTTTTTTTAATATAAAAACAGACCAAAATAAAAAATAAAAAATATGGAGCTCAGAGCACAAAACGGTCTACATCCCCTTATATATATATATATATATATATATATACAGGGTTGCCGGCGTTTGGGACGGGCCGAACGCCCGAACGTACGGGACTTGTTCGGAAAGCGTTCGGCCGTTCGGCCCGAACGCGGACCAAAAAAAAACAAAAAAAAAACAAGTCTTTCAAAAAATTCCGAAAAAAACAAATGTTATGGAGAAAAACAAACTCAACAACATTTGCCTGGGCACTACATCCAAATTCTTTACCTAATTTGAATTAAAAATCACATACAGAAAATAAACACTACGATAAAAATATGAAAAAAAAAAAGAGAATTAAAATGAGTGAGTGTGCCAGCACCTTTTCGACACCGCCATCTTTGCCGATTTTTAATTATTTTTTGGCATTGACAAATGCCCTGGGCCGAGGTCCCACTAGCAAAGAGGATTGGATAGAATGCCTGAATCTGGATGAGTTTATGGAGATGTGAATGAAATCCAGATTGAACTGCTTTTCTGCATCACTGTGTAAAACACATCCAGAATGGCTTCAAACTTTATAGGCGTGTAGGTTACATCATGGAGAACTCACAAAAAAAAATTCAGAAAAAAAATAAATATTTTTAGGACCTGAAATTGTTTTTGGCGGGGGCCGAACCTGGAGGTGTTCGGCTTCCGAACGGGACCCCGAACGCCCGAACGTTCCGGGGCCCGCCCGGGGGCCCCGGAACGTTCGGTCAGGTAACCCTGTATATATATATATATTGGGGGGGTGGGGTTCAGCACTTCATACGGACACGTGCGAACGGCCGTACGACTGTCCATACGGCCGTACGAGAGGACCCCAGTACGTTGTACGGTGTGTTTCACAGTTTTGGGGCCTGTCACACTTTTTGCCCCAGAAAAGGACGCGAAAAGTCAATTTGGGGCCTGCTGCACTTTTTGCCCAGTTTGGGGGCAGATGATTACAAAGGTTTTTTATTTTTTATTATATATATTTCCCTAAGGGGGAGAGCTGAACTGCACTCTGCCCCAGTGCAACACAGAGGCAACGCTGGAAAGGTCGAGGAAGCAAGCTTACCCGTTGGACACCTCCGTAACCCGAATTTTGTTTTTTAACATCGTTGTGGCCCGATGGACAACAGATTATCAGATATTAACTGATCAAAACAGATACTACACTTGATCTATTTTTAGCCAAAAGGCCGATAAAAGGTTTGAATACAAAGGTTTAGCAGCGGGGAAGTTTATTACTTTTTCCCCATGCTGTTTTCCTTTCCATGCATGACATTCAACCTGGCTCTGATAGCAGCTAAGTATGGAAGAAACGGCCGTTACCTCTGTATTTAGACTTATGCTGGCCCAAATGAGGCCAGCTACAATGACCATGCATTCTGTTCCGGGGCAGACAGTAGCCGTGAACAGCGTTTGCTTTTTTCCCCCTGTGGGCCCATTCAGCCTGAGGGCATACTCACACAAGCACGTTTTTCCTCATTTTTCGACGAAATTGCTTTATGATGCATGCAGGTCGGGCCGCAAATACGGTCAGATACATTTGAGATATTGCCAGTCTGAGTACGCTCTGAGATGGGGTAGATTATCTCGTCCATTTTCTGACCTTTTTTTTTTTTTTTTTTTTTTGTTAATTTTAAGGCATTACATGAATCTTTTTCTTCTTCATTTTCACTTCGTGGGGTGGGAACGTGTGGCGAAGCTTGGGTAGGAGGATAGCCCTCTTCCCATTCTGGGGCGAGGTCCCACTAGCAAAGAGGATTTGGGTCGAACGCTTGAATCTGCACGTGTTCGTGGAGAGGTGCATAAATTAGAGATTAATCTGCTTTTCTGCTTCTTTGCAAAAAACAGATCCAGATTCAAGTGCTTCATCCAATCCTCCTTGTTAGTAGGACCTCGCCCCTGATGAGACCAGTACGCAGCCGGTCGAAATGCTGCGTAAAAAAAAAAGAAGAAGAAGAAGAAGCTGTGGAGGGGACACGTGTGCGCTATAACGTGCCTTGTATGCCTTTTTTTTTTTTTCCCCTATTGTATTACTGTCTGAATTGCATGTTTCCGAAGCAACTTGGCCATTCCTTATCACTATTTCTTCTTCATCCTTGCACAGGTCGAAATTTAATATACCGTATGTCTATTGCAAGGAATAAGCCCTCGCAGGGCCCTTATCAAGCATGTACATGTTCTGGGCAGAGGCCCTCAGTAATCCCAGTGCCCACCCTAAGTGAAGGTTGACCTGAATATTCACTTGAGGCCAAAATTGGACATTTTCCATATGTGGGTACTCAGCTGTTGCAGCACGCCAGTTGGTTGAATGGAAGCTTGAGCCTCCCTAAGCTGTGTCGTACAGTTTGGCCCAGGCACTGGTAGTTGCGCCTGGGCACAATGCAGGGCCAAACAGGGCCGATACATCACAAAGATGCTATGGGCAGAAGCAGCATCGTCGACGTACATACCCCAGGTCCTGTGCAGATACAGCAAACTGACAAAGTGTTGAAATGCGGGGTGTGCCCAACTGTACGAGGCCCAGGCCCTCAAGTGCAAGGCTGGGTCTGGGCGCAGGCACCAGGGCCAGACCGGAAGCTACTGGATGCTTCTCGGCCAGGCCCTCACGCGGCCGACCAGGGGCTGCCACTTCCATATAGGAAGAGAGGCAGCCAGGGTCTGGCATTCTGGCCCACTGACGCAGTGCGGTCATGCTGCTGCATTGCTGCACGAGAGGCTGCGTGCCGCGTTAGCGGCCATGGCGCGTGTGGGCACTTGTGAGGTGAAGAGGGGTGCTGCTGGGCAGCGGAGCGCTAGCAGCCATAGCCGGGCTGCAGTGCGCTAGGGGGTAAGAGGGCGATCGGTGGTCGTCAGGAAGGAGGCGAGTGTGGGTGGGCAGGGTCTGCTGAGGGGAGACGAGATACGTATGTGGTACATGAGAGAGGTCGGCTATGGGGTTGACGTCATGTACATTAGTCTTCAAGAGTCGAAGTGAGCCTGTTGCGTGAATGCTGACATAGGTAGGATAGTGTAGACTGGGCGCTGGGCGCCAAACAGAGAGGAGCGACATTGGATACTGTGTTGGTGTGGCCTGAGGGCTTGAAAATTGGCTCATGACTTCATTGTATTGCTCTTATTTAGATGGAATCTCGGTGAATTTGTGCTCTCTGCTTGTACACGACTAGACATCTGTTTGATTTCGCAACTTGACTTTTTGTATTCTTTCTCACTCACATTCCTTGCAATTTGGTATCGGAGCTGGTTCATGATCACCACTTACCTGGCGCTGGCGACAATGTTACTTGGTGCGCTGGCGATGCTTCTGTGCAGTGAGGATGCTTTGGCGCTGGCTTGATAAGCGGGACCCAGGTAGAGGGGTCGGCCGCTGGAAGGCTGTGGCGACAGCGGATGTATGTATGATGATGAGAGCATGCTGATGTAGCATTTTGACTGAGGTGGCACTGCATTGCATTGTGGGTGGTACCAAAGCTATGACCGGTCATTGAAATGCATGTCAGCTCAATTGGTGAGAAATCAGTGGTTGGGGGCAGCTATCTCCAGGTACGTTGTTCCCTTACCTTATCTACCCTCTCAATCTCTTCTTACCGTGAGGAGATAAGTCCAACCTTGAGTCTCCTCTCTTTTGTGTGAGGAGTCGTGAGCGCTCTACCTTGAGAGACGACATTCCTCCCGGTGGTGCATCTGGCAGGAGAGGGCAGCGACTCTGAAGGGCCCTGGTCGAAGCACGGGTCACGGTGACCATGCCAACCCATGGGTGTAGTACATACAAGCCATGCTGCTTTGTCCTTTGAAGGCTCTTTGATGCACTGATAGAAGGGGTGTGCGGACTGACCAGTCCTATGCAGACGCTATTCAGACCGTCTAAAAATATTTATGGCGGGGGTCTGAACTGTCCATTCAATTTTGGTTGTGATTGGCGTCCTGATTGCGACGTTAAACAATTCTTGAGGACCGTGGGGGGCTGTCCCTAAACTGCCTCTTGATCAGCCAGATCAGTCAGACATAAGGCTCGTTGCACGCGAGGGTAAAAAAAGGGCAGTTCTGGTCATAAGCATAGACCTTGGGCACAGGGATGGGCCGTTAATGCACACCTTAGACACTGGCGCTCGATGATGGCTATAGACATGTTGGATACAGGTGACAAAGATTCCAATTGAGACTCAACTGGCAAACACAACCATACCCATTATGCATACATCTGCTCACATAGTTTATTTTATTTTGATTAGTTGGTTGACTGACTGCTAACACCTCACAGACAACCTAGACTAGAACTGTAGTGTTTCACCATAACCAGTTCTCTTCGAACCTGCTGTAAGAGAACTAATCAAAGTAGATTTAGATTATGTGTACAATCTGTGTAAATGATGTTGATACCAATTGAACGGTAGCTTAAGTGACTTGTCGGATATTATTTTTATTTATTTATTTTTAGAACCAGCCAGGCGCAAGCTGCGGTAGGTTCCAAAGAGAGTCCTAGTGCAGACAACGTCTTCCTAGTCGATAAGTGGATCAAAAGGTGGTAAAGGTACATCTGACGATAAGAGACAAACACGACGGGACACAAGAAGAATACCCGTAGTGTTCCAGGTCCTACTACCAGGGGATGAAGGAAGACTAAGGGCCGAAGTAAGGGCCCGAGTACTTGAGACTGCTAGGGAAGCAACAGCAGTTGCGGAAAGAACGTTGGCGGCAGCAGCAGCCAGTGTAGTAGCAATGGCTACATCTGCAGCAGCAACTGCTGCAACCTCGGTTGGACAGTCACTCTGCATGCCGCATGGCTGGTCCATCCCAGTACGTCAGGAGTTGGCTCTAGTCAGATGGCGGGGCGTGCAGTCCAGCTCGCCGCCTCCACTCACCAGGAGCAGATGGAGCTCCTGTAGGTAGAAAGGATGCGCTTAAGGCTAGAGAAGGAACTTAGAGATGCTACCAATAGGGAGAAAGAAATTAGAGATAGAAGTGTCAAACTTGAGGGAAAAGAGGCAGCCAAAGCTGCATTAGAGGGTTTAGATGACTCGGCCCTTGACAACAACACAAAGATTGTCAAGGAGAGCATCCTGTCCATGCATGCGTACATGGACAACAAACAGGGCGCGATCCAAGATACCCTTGACCAGATCCTGAACGCCATGCACAGGCCGGGATTCAGGCCAGCAACTTTTCGATAGCCGTTGCCTTTATCGGCAATGACAGACCCATATCTACCTCAGTCCGGACCACTACCAAGCGGTACTTCAGCAGAAACCTTATCTCAGAGTGTTGCTTCTTCATCTTCTGGTCCAACGATTGGTGCTACACCTCATCCGCCGCTTGTCTCACCAGTGGGACAACAACAACCATGGTACCCCAAATCCCCATTGAAACCACCCTCCACCTTCTTAGGTGATAAGAAGGAGGAGGCTCTCGACACATGTGTGAGAACGGTTTCCATGTGGGTAAGGGCGAAGAGGATGCTGGTAATGGAAGAAGTGATAACCGTTGCATCCTACCTAGAAGGATCAACAACTCGCTGGCTAAACGGATTAGTGGTTTCAAAGGGATTCGGCAGGAACATGGGTGATTGGGCTGAGACCCATACCCTAGAGAGCTTTATGGACTTGGTAGAAGCGCGATGGCACAACCCACAGCGGCACAGATTGCCAGTGATGAGTTGCTGAAACTCGATGTTAAAAAGTACAAGTTCGTATGTGAACTCATTTTTACCGTAGAGCGTTTGATTGTCGTCCCTGGGGTACAATATAATCCACAGGTCTTGTTGACCATGTTCTTGAGGTGTCTTCCCACAGACATCGAGAACTTGCTAGCCAGCGAGGCTCGACTAGAGTATCACACGTTTGAGAGCTTTAGCAAAAAGACCTTAGATTTAGAGGTTACGCTAGGAGGTTTTTAGACACCCTCTACGGATGAAAAAAAAAAAAAGAGTCCACAAGAGTGGAAAAAGAAGGGTAGTCGATTGATGATGGTTGATTCCGATGGGAATCAAACTGAGATCAATGATGTGTCTAATCTTGTGGACGACTCAGAGTTTGACGACGTGGATAGTGCTATAGGTAGCTACCTCGCTTCATTAGTAAAGGTTAAATCGGGTGGTCGTGGCAAGGGCGGTCAACAGAGGAGTCAGGGGCAAAACCAGAATCCAAACAAGATTGCAGCTTGGGTTAGAGCGGGTTTGGACCAAGAGGTGTGGCGAGACTGTTATTCGCGGGGTGCTTGCATTAACTGCAACGAGTATGACCATCAACAGTTTAGATGCAAGAACGCGAAGGTCTCATAGAAGATACCACCTAAGGGTGGGATTCCCTTCTCCTAGGGTGGGTCCTCTCCGAGCTCCAGCTCGCGAGACACCTAGGGCCAGTAGAAGTTGTAACTGCTTTTAGTCGTGTTGAAGCGGGTGATGTACCCTCCCCGTTTCAAGAGTAGGCCGAAGCTATTGACTCCTTAGTCACTGCGCAGACGCATACCCAACGATACTCTACTTGTTGGATGTGTCTGCGACCTTAGAGTACCTACAAAGTGAGTGGTCGGCAAGGGACCCTCGTGAGTCCTGGGTGGCACTAAGTCGAGGGCCTAGAGGGGAGCACTTCATTGTGGAAGTTGGTGTAGGTGGCCGTAAGTGCGATGCCTTCATAGACATCGGCTCCACGCAGAACTTTATCAGTCGCGACTGCGTTGATAGGTTGCGCTTACATGACCGGGTGCAGCGCCTTAGTAGACCGGTAACATCTGCTTTGGCCAACAAAGAGCGCATGTTGGTGGAGAACGACGTTAAGGATGTAGCCTGCATTTCTCCTATGCAGGAGGGGGACTTGATCATAAGATTTCGTTCGTAGGTAGCGGTGACCTACCATTTGACATGTTGTTAGGTATGTAATACTTTAAGGTTGCCGAACCTTAGTTTGACTGGGACAAGAAATTGTTGAAGCATGAGCTGCCTAATGGGAGGACCGTTAGACTAGAAGCTTAATTAACTCCTACGGGTGTTTGTGCACATCGAACTTCTATAATTACTATAAATAGAACCAAGAGGAGGGTATGTACATGATCTTTGTCTCTGAGAAAGGGGAGGCCTTAAAATCACCACGGAGATCGAGAGTATCATTGCCAAGTACCCTGATCTGTTTGAGGAGCCCACAAGCGTCATAGATAGGGAGGTTGTCCATGCCATAGAGATCATCCCTGGGAGCAAAATACCCAAAGGGAGAACGATGGTTCATGCCGAGTTGGACAAGCTCCGGCACCAACCGAAAGAGCTCATAGAAAAGGGTTGGATACGACCTAACATCTCCCCCTTCGGCTCACCATTCCTATTCGTACCTAAGAAGGGGGGATGACTAAAGATGTGCATTGATTATACGGGCCTCAATGTCGTCACCGTTAAGAACGCAGAGCCCCCACTGCACACCGATGACCTATTGGAAGGGTGCAAGGATATAAGTCCTTTACCAAGATAGACTTGAAGTTCGGTTACCATCAAATTGCCATTCGACCAGACGACCAGCACAAAACCGCATTTAAGACTAGGTATGGTCTGTACGAGTTTGTGGTGATGCCTTTCGGGGAAGTTTCGGCCTTTGCAATGCGCCGAGTACTTTCGAGCAGGTCATGAATAGGATTTTCCATAACTACTTGGATAAGTTTATTGTTGTGTACCTCAACGACATTTGTATCTTTAGTAGGACTGTCGAAGAGCATGCTGAACATGTAGATGAAGTGTTTTTTTTCCTCCAACAACGCAAGTATAAGAAATGCGAGTTTGGTCGCACCAAAATCTTGTACTTGGGTCATGAAGTATACGCGGAAGGGATTAGGCCTCAGGATGCGAAGGTGGCTAGCATTAGAGACTGGCCACGACCCCAGTTTGTAACTGAGGTCAGATCGTTCTGGGGGATGTGTGGTTATTACCGCAATTTTGTACAGAACTATAGCACGATAGCATCTCCCTTGACGGACCTAACGCGTCTTGACACTCTATGGGAATGGACAAACGAATGTGAGGCTTCTTTCAAGAGATTGAAACATGCCCTTACACATCATGAGGTTCTCATGGTCCCCGATCCTCGAAGGCCATTTGTAGTGACCACTGACGCAAGCCAATATGGCATTGGCGCAATGCTGGCGCAACAGGAAGGGAAGAAGTTAAGGCCGATCGAGTACATGAGCGAGAATATGCCATCAAAGAAGTTGGCGAAGTCCACCTACGAAAGAGAACTCTATGCCCTCTATAAGGCACTTGTCCATTGGAGGCACTATCTGTTGGGAAGGTTTTTCTACTTGAGGACCGACCATCAAACACTTAAGTGGATCAGGACACAACCTGTTCTCTCCGATGCACTCAAATGTTGGATTGAAGTCATAGATCAATACGACTTCAAGCTTGACTATGTGAAAGGAGAGTATAACAAGGTTGTTGATGCTCTATCACGTAGCGCAAACTACCTGGGTGGGCTGATCACTGAGTTTGGCTTATCCGATGATGTATCTCGATCCTTGGTGGAAGCCTACAAGGAAGGCCCTGTCACGATGGACATCATTCGCACACTTGAGGCCAAAGACAAGGCCATAACTGATGAGTTTTTGATGGTGGATGGATTGCTCTTTCTTGAGAAGGAGGGATTCAAAAGATTAGTCTTTCCATCTAGAGAGAATTTGCGTAGTTTATTTTTAGGTGAGTACCATGACGCGACAAGACGTTTCGGCTACAAAAAGACTAGTGTGAACTTGGTACAACGATTCTAGTGGCCTAACATGTTTGACGATGTGAAGACCTACATTCAGACTTCAAGTTGCCAAGTCTGTCAGCGGGACAATCCGCGGACTCAAGCTCCGCTTGGGTTATTAAAGGGGATTTAAAGCCTCTACCCATTCCTGTTGGTCCGGGACAGAGTGTTTCCATGGACTTCGTGGATACGTTCGTGACTAGCAAGAGTGGCAAGAGACATATCTTCATCATAGTTGATACGTTTACTAAGTACGCTAAACTAATTGTCATGCCGAAGACTGCCAAGATTGAGGACATCATCAAGTTATTCATGGATACGTGACTTTGGACTGCCAAAGACTATTGTTAGTGATAGAGATGTCCAATTCATCAGCGAGATGTGGAAGACGGCCGCTGAACAGAGGGGCAGCCAGCTCCAAATGACTTTTGGGAATCATTCCGAAGCCAATGGGCAGGCTGAACATATGAATCGAGTGGTGCAGGCATTACATTAAGCCCAACCAGAAAGACTGGGATGAGAAATTACCTCTCATCACCAGTCTGTACAACAACGTTGTACATAGCACCACAAATGTCATCCCTAATCAGCTGCATTTGGGGTGGAAGCCTAGATCTGCTCTAGACTTCCTCCTACCCGAAAACCGAACTGTTGCAACCACTGAAACCATAGATTACGGTGTCTAGTACGAGAAGTTGTTGCAGCAGACTATTGAACACATCAAGAAATCTCAAGAAGCAATGATTGCTTATGAAAACAAGTATTGTCGACAGTCCACATTTCAGGTAGGGGAACGTGTCTGGGTCAAGGCTAGTGAGTTGGGACAGGAGTTCGGCATCTCTAGAAAACTAATGCCTCAGTACTTCGGTCCCAGGGAGGTCATGGATGTTGTGCGTAGTGATTTGGGTGGTCCCTCGCACGTAATTCGTATCCCTGGTCACCTATGCACTTACCCTAAGCTTGCACCTTTCGCTGAGACTGAACAATTCCCATCAAGGAGATCTATGCTGCCCCCAACCATGGATGGTCACGTGGACGTCAATCATATCCTGGAGCACAGAGACATGCCTGTTCTCAAGCCAGCTGGCAGAGGTAGACTGCCTAAACCTGTGAGAGAGCACAGAGTTCCGTTCAGGCATCATACTGATCCTAAAGAAGATTGATGGTTAACAAGGGAGGAACTTGTGAAGACAGCTCCTCAGATCGTGGCTGAATATGAATGCAGACTGAACGGGAAGGCACCAGCTTGAAGCATCTCAACGGACTTTCGAAGCCAAGGGGGATGAAATGCGAGGAATAAGCCCTTGCAGGGCCCTTATCAGACATGCACATGTTCTGGGCAGAGGCCCTCAGCAAGCCCAGTGCCCGCCCTAAGTGAAGGTGGGCCTGAATATTCATTAGAGGCCAAAACTCGACATTTTCCATATGTGGGTACTCAGGCTGTTGCAGCACGCCAGTTGGTTGAATGGAAGCGTGAGCCTCCCTAAGCTGCGCCGTACAGTTTGGCCCAGGCCCTGGTAGTTGCGACTGGGCACATACACACAATGCAGGGCCAATACATCACAAAGTGGCTACGGGCCCAGGCACTGGTAGTTGCGACTGGGCACATACACACAGTGCAGGGCCAATACATCACAAAGTGGCTACGGGCCTACGCAAAAGCAGCATCGTCGGCGTACATACCCCGGGTCCTGTGCAGATACAGAAAACTGACGAAGTGTGGAAATGTGGGGTGTGCCCAACTGTACGAGGCCCAGGCCCTCAACTGCAAGGCTGGGTCTGGGCGCAGGCACCAGGGCCAGACCGGAAGCTACTGGATGCTTCTTGGCCAGGCCCGCACACGGCCGACCACGGGCTGCCACCTCCATATACGAAGAGAGGCAGGCAGGGTCTGGCATTCTGGCCCACACAGGCATTGCGGTCACGCTGCTGCGTTGCTGTGCGACAGGCTGCGTGCTCGGTTAGCGGCCAGCGCGCGTGTGGGCGCTTGTGAGGTGAAGAGGGGTGCTGCTGGGCAGCAGGGCGCTAGGGGGTAAGAGGGCGATCGGCGGTCTTCAGGAAGGAGGCGAGTGTGGGTGGACAGGGTCTGACGAGGGAAAACGAGATACATACCTGGTACATGAGAGAGGTCGGCTATGGTGTTGACGTCATGTACATTAGTCTTCAAGAGTCGAAGTGAGCCTGTTGCATGAATGCTGATGTAGGTAGGATAGGCAAGTAGTGTTGACTGGGCGCTGGGCGCCAGACAGAAAGGAGCGACATTGGATATTGTGTTGGTGTGGCCTGAGGGCTTGAACATTGGCTCATGACTTCTGAACCATTGTATTGCTCTTATGTGGATGGAATCTCGGTGCATTTTTGCTCTCTGCTTGTACACGACTAGTTGGACATCTGTGTGCTTTCGCGACTTCGCTTTCTGTATTATCGTTCTCACTCATATTCCTTGCACTATATTTTTATTTTAAACGTTTTAATATGATTTTATGTATTTTTTTGTATTTGTTTAAACCATTTTTATTAAATTGTGTGTCTGTTAGAGCATTATTATCCAATATATATAGCTCGCTGAATCTGGTTCTCATCCCAACCATGTGCATCCTCGTGTTGTCCTTTCCGCCATAGGTAGCAGGACCTGGTCCGGTTGGTGGCCGTTTGACGAATGAGAGGTCATTCATATCCACCTCAGCACCCTGGCCGTGGCACTCCCACGTGGCAATTGGATAATGTTTCTATGTGGCAATTGGAGAATGTTCCTACGTGGCAATCGGATAACATTTGGCCGACTTGGCAATCGTTAGTACAACGTCGACCATCCGACGGGGGCAATTTACCGAGATGTCGACTCAACTTACTGAGATGCTGACAGCGGCAGTAACTGTTACAGTGGCGATGTCATCGACTCAGGGCCAGCTAGCCTTATGGAGAGGCCATGCACGAGATTAAACCAGAAAAGACCGAGGGTAAGGATAATTGGCAATAATCACTCCTCCCTGTTGGGATCGGCGGCCTCAAAAAAGAGCTATCGCAGGAAAGGAGGTGCAACTCGGATCCGCCGCCGACAGTCACGAGTAAAACGCTCACACACCTGTTTATCTTGATGGCGTGTCCCCACCCCTCCTCCTCTTCCTCCTCCTCGTCCTCATGGTTCTCCTCCTCCAAAGCTGTGGTGATCTTCCTAGCAATGCTGGCTGCACTGATGCTATGCACGGCAGTTGGTGGAGCATCCGCGGGTCCGGGCCCCGAGGAGGACCATGTCCGGGACTCTTCCCAGTCCAACCGCCCGTGTGCACGGTCTGCAGGGCTGGCAGCGCGGAAGGTAATGTCATTCGATGCAAGGGGGGAGGAGGAGAGGGAGGGGCAGGAGGAGGAGGAGGAGGAGGAGGAGGAGGAGGAGGAGGAGGAGATGGACGGCACGAGAAGGGACGTGTTGGAGTCGGGTATTGGCATTTTTCCGGAGGCCAATCATGATAACCAGTCTGAAGGGAGGAGGACGAATAGGAGGATAGAACAGGAAGTTCCAGCAGCTCTGTACCCATGGCTTCAATTCAACAAATCGCTGCTCACTCTACACGGCAATGTATTACCGGATATTACGGCGAATAATTCTTTGGATTATCAAAGACGTTATATTCATGCTCTCATCCTCTCTCAAGATGGAAGCACCCTCTACTTCGCGCACGACAAGTATGATACCGACAGCCAGATCGGGAAAGCCGTCCGATTGCCTAATCCATCATCTTTACCACCATCTGCAACTTCATCTCAATCACAAACATCACCACAGAGTCTGTTGTACGAAGTGTCCAATATCCTCAAAAAGGCTATCGACATCACAGGCAGCAGCAGGGCCAATCGTGTCACAGGCCTGGAGATTCTGGAAGATAATGTTACGCTTCTCGTTGGATACGAGGAGACACAGGAGATCCACCAAGTATGGGTGGAGAATGGGAGAGAGGAGGTGTTCATTGCTGGTCCATTAGCAGCTAAATACGGCATGGCCAGGCATCCAAAAGAGCTGTGGCTATTTGTGAGTTCACCTCCACAGATTCAGAAGGTGCCGCTTAAACAAGGGGCTCCCATCAAGTCAATTATACTGCTAGCTGGTAATCATGAGCCTGCGAGTATCCCCGAAAACATGGATGGCACAGGCAGCTCTGCTCGATTTGGGTCGGGGGGCCCAAGGATTGTCTCCCGATCTGTCTCAAGAGACGGTGCCTTACTCTACGTTGGCGACCGGGGCTTTTTGCTCGTGAGGCGAGTGCACACCGCCACAGGAGTGACAGAAACTCTCAGTTTTGCTAACGGAACACATGTGGCTATGCCCTTCGGTCCGTTAGCTGCCGTTATAACTTCGGATGATTGCAACCTTTTCGTAACGGGATGGCCAGACACCAAGCCCCCCACGGGACAGCCATCAGTGGTCCGATGGGTGGCCCTCGACGCCCCACATGGCAACGTCTCCTGGACCAAAGACATCGTCCTCTTCAACCGCACCCCTCCCTCCGCCTTGGACAAACAGGACTGGACAGGGGTAAACGAACCATCGCGTCTGTTGCTTAGTCACAATGATGCAGATTTGTATGTCGGAACGAGTAATGGGGAGATATTCCACTTCGCCATTAACCGCAGTGCTCTGCACAAATGTGGTTCCATTGATCCTGCAAACTCTCCAGGGTTCGGTCCCCTTCCACGGTACGATCCTCCTACAGTACCACCTCCCTCCTCGTCCTCCCGCCTCTCATCCTCATCTGATGGAATTTCCTTTCTCAAATTGACTATCGTTTTGTGCGTCATAACCGTGGCTCTCCTAGGGGTCTGGATAACGCTCGTCCTGTGGTGGACCAGAAGACTGTGCTTTCGCCCGGAGAAGGACTACGCGATTGCTGCTTCTGCAGCTCATCAGCCCAAGACACAGCAGCAGCGATGGCTGTGTTCGTGCATATTCTTTGGCCATCCGAATACTCTCTCTCCGGGAGATAAAGCCTGCAGCAGCGGTGATTTCAAAACCACAGCCACGACGACGACGACGATGACATCTCTCTCCCTCCTCCATGGCGATGGCGATCAATTGGAGTTCGCTGCCATCTCGCTCGAGCTTGACCATCTTGATGCCCCTCGACCGATCCCCTTCACAGATCTACGGGAGGCGACGGATGGCTTTAGCGATAGGCACAAGGTGGTGGGAGCAAGGGGCGGATTTGGTGACCTGTACCGGGCAACCATGAGAGTAGGAGGTGAAAGGCAGGAGATGACTGACGTGGCGCTGAAGCTGATGAGGGGCGGACTTGACGAACTGAAACGAAAGCAGTTCCTCTCCGAAGTGACCACTTTCAGCCGAGCTCGCCATGTCCATCTCTGCAAGCTTCTCGGCTACTGTGTGGAGCGAAACATGGTTGTCCTTGTCTATCCCTTCATCTCGGGTGGCAGTTTACATGATCGTCTGCACCCTCGTCCTCGCCCCTCTGCCCAGGCCCTGCCTTCTCCTACCACAGGACCATCTCTTCCTCCTCCTCCTCCTCCTACTCCCTTAGGTTGGAGGTCGCGACTGTCAGTTGCACTGCAGATCGGGACTGCATTAAGGTATCTCCACGAGGAGTTAGAGCCCCCGCTCTTGCATCGGGACGTCAAGAGCAGCAATGTCCTTGTCGACGGCTCCGGAGAGCAGGTCAAGGCCTATCTGACCGACTTTGGCCTCGCTAGGCTTGGTAATCCGAGCTCAGGCTTGGAAAGAGGTCGGGAAACTGTGCAGACAGCTTTTCGAGCCGGCACGATTGGGTATATGGCTCCCGAGTATGCCATTGGATTGAAACTTACCGCCAAGAATGACGTGTATGCCTTCGGTGTGATTCTGCTGGAGATGGTTACTGGGAAGAGTGCTCTCTTCTGGAGGACTAATGGAGATCAGCCCGAGATGGACGCTCTAGATATGTATGATGTGACCCTGAGTGACAGCGAGACCGATTGCGGTCATCACCCCATTGTGCTTGTGCTTTGGGCCCGGAAGACGTTCAAGAAAGTGCCACACTGGGACTATCAGCTGCTTAGCAAGATGGTGGACCCGCACCTTGTTCAGTCCTTCGAAGTCCCTGGAGGGAGCGAATGGGAGAGGGAGACGCTGTGTGCAATTGCCAAGTTGTCGCAGGAGTGCACTGATGTGGAGGCAAGTAAGAGGCCCATGATGGGTGTGGTTGTGGAGAGGATCAAGGCAATCGTACAAGAGCAGGGAAGAACATAAGGGAATGGGAGAAGTGGAGGAGGGGTGTTGTTGCTGAACGAGTAGAGAACAGGTAGGCAAGGGGGGTTGCGCCTGAGACGCGTTTTTGGTCGTCAACTTTTGGCTAGTCAACATTCTTCTTCCTCATTCCCATGTATATATTAGCAGGTTGCAGGGGGACATACTAACTAAGTTCGGGCAGGGCAGAACAGGGCCAGCGACGGAAACCTGGTGCTTCCTCCTTTTTATCCTTCTTCTTACTGCTCTCCCTCCTCGTCTATCCTTGTCGTATACTGTGCTGCTCCTGTGCTCTTTGCCCATCTGCTCCCTCTCCTGCTTTCCTCCCCTCCCGGTCCTCCCGGTTCTCTTCCTCCCCTCCCCCTCCCCGTCTTCCTCCTCCCCTCCTTCACCTCTCTTCTTCTTCTTCTTCTTCTTCTTCTTCTTCTTCTTCTTCTTCTCCTTCTTCTTCTTCTTCTTCTTCTTCTTCTTCTTCTTCTTCTTTTCCTCCCTCGTTTCCCTCTCTTTTCCTTTTCCTGTCTCCATCTCTGGTCTCCTGCTGCCTATGCTTTGGAACGGGTGGATGGGACACTTGTTAGCAGAGCGGTGAGTCCCAACAGCCTCTCCTTTTCCTCATTCTCTTCACTTCTACATGTTCCTTTTCTATCTGCATGCACGATTACCTGCTAGACGAGGTAGTGCTTTCGGTTGGCGGCTTTAACTCTGAAGGTCTGAACACATGCACTGTCATTCTGCAGACCCTCCAACTACAGCTGGCCTTTTTTTTTCCCTTTTTTTTTGGCATAAAAGACGATTGTGATGGCCTTGAGGCGCTCTCTCAAAGTAGTTGTCAATTGTATTTATATATTTATGTATCCAATCATTCGAATCTCCAGCAAACTCATCTCAGCCATGGATTCTTTCCGTCATCTCCATAGTGTGCACACCAGCACACATGCATCAGAGCTTGTACATCACCCGATCTTGACAATCTTGAAATATCTCCATCTTTGGACGTTGATCTAGCGATTTGAAATCCCATCTTCAGACTGATCAGTGATCCCAGTTTTCTTTTTTTTATATAAATAATGGTTAATGACTCCCGTGTTTACAGGTTGATTGCAGCTGGTAGCACTTTGTTCCTGGTATGGATCTGATAAGGATAACTGGAGTTACTGCACTGGCTGTAGCTAGTTAATAGCCGCCGTGATGGAACTGATAAGTTAACTGCAGTTACTGCACTGGCTGTAGGTAGTTAATAGCCGCCCTGATGGAACTGATAAGTTAACTGCAGTTACTGTGCTGGCTGTAGTTAGTAAATAGCCATCCTGATGGAACTGGTACGTTAACTGCAGTTATTGTGCTGGCTGTAGTTAGTCAATAGCCGCCCTGATGGAACTTAGAAGTTAACTGCAGTTACTGTGGTGAGTCTGGTGACTGTAGTTAGCTTCTAGCTGCCAATGGAACTGCAGTGATAAGTTAACTGCAGTTACTGTGCTGGCTGTAGTTAGTTAATAGCCGCCCTGATGGAACTTATAAGTTAACTGCAGTTACTGTGCTGGCTGCAGTAAGTCAATAGCCGCCGATGGAACTGATAAGTTAACCGCAGTTGGTGTGGTGACTGTAGTTACCTAATAGCCACCGATGGACCTGATATGTTAAAGCACCAGCACACCACATATCGGCCAACGGTGTCAGCACGAAACCCACACGCAGACAATTTTTTTTTTCAACGGCGGGCCTGGCCGCGCGGCACCTCCGAGTTTTGCTTGTGGGCGACAAAAACTTTATGCAAGGCCGGGGCCGTGAACTAGCGGTTTAAAGCACCAGTTCATCGGCACCTGGGTTGCGGGCCTGACACCTCAAATTATGGACGCGCGGAACGAAAATGCAACCACAATCAAGTGGTTTAAGTGCATTTACTGCACTGGCTGTAGGGTAAGGTGATAGCTGCCAAAGTTCTATAAATAGGCGTCGAGAATGTACTGCAGTTAGTGCTCTGAGGATTACTTAGAATGTACTCGAACTTAGGACTTTCAACTTTGCCGAGACGTATTACGGCCGACCCCGGGTGTATCTGGCCACAATCAAGTCCAAGAGCTGAGTATAAAACATCCTAGTGTGAATATGCCCTTATATGGGAGCTCAAGCATGGATTATCTATGCCTCTTTGGAGTGTGATAGATACTTCCCTCTTCCTATTGATTGATCATACTGTTTTGAAAACTTCCCTCTTCCTATTGGTTGATCATACTATTTTGAAAACTAAGTCTTAAAATATTAACCATCGTAACCGGCCTGACGTCTGGACCGGGTTCCCGACAGTCCGGAACAACATGTCCAGGTCCGGGGTTCGGTCCGTGATGTCTGGAGGGAGGCCCGAAGGGAAAAAAAAAAAAAAAAAACAAGGGGGCGGCTCAGGACGTTTTTCGGGTCCCGGTGGGGGGTTGCCCCCTGAAAAATAACGGGGCGAATTTTCGGTGTCGTTTCGCCCCACCTGACAGGGCCTAGAGGCCCGGACACAAGACATGTACTGAGGTTTCCACTTGACATGTACTGCAAGAAGTTAATCAAACTTTTTAATTTTTTTTTTCACTGTTGCTTTAGTCTTGTGCCCGCTTTGCGCTGTTTGCAACTCTGCATGTCTGCTAGTTGAATGTGCTTGTTGATTTGCTGCAAGACAGGTGCTCTGGTGCCTGAACTACGAAGTGCAAACCAGGTGAGTGCCTGCCAACACCCCTCCCCTCCCCCACCCCCTCCATTTTTATTTTATTTTTTTGTTGGTCCGGACATTTTTCACCCCCTGACACCGGTCCTGACTGTCCCGGTCCGGTGGTGTCCGGATCGCGGGACAGTCCGGACCTGTCCAGACACTTGTCTGGAATATAGTCCGGAAATTTCCGGTGTCCGGGTCCACGGTTTTTGTTCTGGACATTTTTCACCCCCTGCCACGGGTTCTGACTGTCCGGGTCCGGTGATGTCCGGGTGTCCAGGTGTCCGGATCGCGGGACAGTCCGGACCTGTCCAGACACTCATCTGGAATACAGTACAGAAGTGTCCGGTGTCCGGGTCCACGGTTTTTGCTCTGGACATTTTTCACCCCCTGACACCGGTCCTGACTGTCCGGGTCCAGTGATGTTCGGGTGTCCGGTGGTGTCCGGATCGCGGGACAGTCCGGAACTGTCCAGACACTCGTCTGGAATACAGTCCGGAAGTGTCCGGTGTCCGGGTCCACCGTTACCATTACACCTGGATACAGAGTTCTGGAAGCTTTATCCAGTTTCACTTACAGGCCTCTGCCTGCGGGACTTACCTTCTAGACCCACGCAGCTTGATGGCTGCTTTGCTGGAAAACGGGTCTAGCGTCCCTGGTTCAACATTGAAGAGGTCTGATTATGGACATACAACCATGGGCTAGAGGCTGGCAGAGAGACTGGCAGAGAGACCTAAGACCTGCCTCTTCGGTTCACTGGGAGGGAACCATCAGATACCTCCTGAAAACCTAGCCTGCCAACTCTCTGCAGCTACAAAGCCTATAAGAAGACCAGATATCATTCCATGATGTACATCTCTCAATCCCTGGCCAGTAAACAGCCTAGACTCTGCCCCGTAATCCTTGTCCTTTGCTCCTTACCTATGTATCCTCTGCGGCTGCAGCCGTGGGGTCAAGCTCAGCCCACGGGCTCGACCGTGGATTTTGAGGAATTTTCCTCGAAATAATAATAATAATAATAAATGGGGATGTGGGGTTTTCAAAACCTTACAACCCCATTTTTTTTCATTTCCAAAAACGTTAATTTTCGGTGATCAAAAAATTAAAAAACAAAAGGGATAATTTGCAAAATACCCCCCTAAGTTGAGATATATGCCAAAATGCCCCTGAAAGATGTGGGTAGAGCGGAATGCCCGTTTGGGCCTCTCTCTCTGCCTACGGTTTACCGGGCAGTTCTGTGTGTGACGATATATATATAATATACAATATATATATATATATCCTCAAATAGAACTGCCCGGTAAACCGTAGGCAGAGAGGGAGAAGAGGACAACAAACGAGGGGCTGTGACAAATATATATATATATATTACTAGGCTACCAGCCGGGCCGCCCGGGTCCCGGGTGGCCAGCCCGTGCAAGGTCCCAGCAAAAAAAAAAAAAAAAAAACAATCTAAAAATTCTGAAAAAACACTATGTTATGCAGAGAAATAGACTGAACAACTTTTGCCTCAGGGTCACATCAAAATTCTTCACCAAATTTAAAATAAAAAATAAAATTCAAAACTATTTTATTCTTTTTTATTTTTTTAATTATTTTGTCCCGGCCGGGCAATTGATCCCGGGCCACTCTGGTAGCCTATAATATATATATATATATACAGAGTTGCCAGGCCGAACGTACGGAGGCCCCTAAGCTGACCCCCGAACGTTCGGGTGTTCGGGTCCCCGTACGGGGCCCGAACTCGAAGGGGTTCGGACCCCGCAAAAAATTATTTTGGTACCTAAACATTATTATTGTTTTCTGATTTTTTTTTTGTGAGTTCTCTGTTATGTAGGCTACCTGTCTCTCAATTTTGAAGTCATTCTGTGGAGCCAAACAATAATGAAAAATCGGCAAAGATGGTGGTGTCAAAACTTGCTTTCCCACTTACTAATTTGTTTTTTTCATGGCTACGCGATCCGGACGTCCGGACTGCCGTCCGGACGGTCTGGATTCAGTCCGGAATCCAGACGTCCGGTCTGGAAGGTCCGGATCTGGCAAATTTCAAAAAAAAAAAAACAAAAAAAAAACGGTCCAGGACCCTTCCCCATTGAGGAGCCAAGCCCCCGAAATTGTTTTGGGGGGTTTTCAGGCCCGTTTATGCTTTTTTGGGGAGTCCGGACATGTTCTCTCTCTATAGTAATTTATTAGACAACCCCAATTTTTTAATTATTAATAAACCATTACCTTTTATTAGTTTTTAAAGTCTTTTTTTAAGCTTTTTATAGTTTTCGACTTTTAACTC